ACTTAGATATACAATATATTTTATTAATGTAATAATTATATTTTTTAATAAAAAAAATTTAAAAAATATAAATTTTATTTTTCATTATATAAATAATTTATATTTAGAGAAAAAATTATAAAATATATATAATATGAATACGTCAGATTATAATAATAATAAAATAACATGTTAATAAAATATCAAATTAATTCTATTATTATCTTAAAATAAATATAATTATAGATTATGTTCTATATGAGAGATAAATGCATTTATTAACATTCCATAAATAATCATAAATTCACATAAATTCATTATCAATAAAGTAGAAATACCAACTATTTTAGAATAGATAATAGACTATGTGTCTTATGCTGACTTCAATCTTTTTACTTAAGTACAAAATTTATATTTTTATTTATTTTATTATATATTTATTCATTTTGTTAATACAAAAGCTTATTTATTATATAATAAAAAGATAGATAACAAACAATAATCTATAAAATATTTATACATATAAATATTAGTAGAAGTAACTTCTTAAGAATAAATTATGTATATATATATATATATATATATTCATAATTTATTTTCATTTTTAATTCCTTAATTTTTCAATGTGAAGAATTTTTATAGTGAAAGAATAAAAAAAAATAATTATAAAATATAAATTAAATATTTTTATTAAAAGATTTTCATTAATATTAAGAAAGTGAATATGTAATCAATAATAATAATTTCAAATAAATATAAATATATATAATTATATATATTCATAAATCTCGTATATATTAAATAGTGGAAGGGCAAGTTTCTATTTTTCGATTTCCTTAAGCAATGTTGGTAAAAATCACGGCCGGTTTCTAACTTGGCATATGGCAGACGTTACCTCGATGCAACCGATGCAATATACCGCGATTATTATTTGCGTCACCGTTAACAAATTATTATTCTCAAAATGTTACTGTCAAGAGATTAAGCCAAAATTAGAATAAAAAATTTTTGTTTTTTTCTTTAGAAATTTTGATTATTGAAAGATAAAATGTAAATTTTTCTATACGATACATAAACTTTTCTAACCTCTTAAATTTTTCTACGACATCAAATAGTTTTTACAATTAAAATATTATTATAAAACTATTTATTCTGCTTTTATTTAATATTAATATTTATAATGTAATATTATACGTATATAATGTAACATTAATATTTTAATATATTATATTTCTATTTGATTAATCAATTAAAATTATGGAATGAAAAGATAAAAAATCAAAAAATGTTAGAAAAATTTGAATTATAAATTTAAATATATTTGTTCATACAGCAAATCGAGATGAATAATAGAAAAATAAATAAGTTTCTTAGTGATTTATTTTGCAATATAATGGATATCGTTAACATTATATCAGATCATAAATAAAAGATGTGAGATTGATAACGGACGTTACTAACGTTGAGAAAATTGCAGAGTAAAGAAAAGCAAAGACGTGGAAGCAAGATTATTAAAAGAGTTTATATCCTCATTATTGGCGACGTAATTTTAGTGTGTAACAACTCAAGAGGTCCCCGGACATGACTAAATAGATAAAGATCGACGCACTAGCCATGAACTTTGCACCGTGAGAAGAGTTTTCTTCGCTTAACAAGTTACACCGAAGTTCCCGCGCTTTCAGACAATGAATCCTTCCACGCGGTGAACAACCGTAATCATTTCCAGGATTCATAATAGAATGAGAAGGGAAGTTGGATGATTTCGCGATCTTTTATTGTACTCTTTATATAACTTTAGATTTTAATAAGTTGAAAATAATAACATAAAAAAAATAATAAAACATAAAATAAACGAAGAAAAAAGAAAATAGAAAAAAGCATATGTGTAAAAACTTATAAAAAATTATATTAAAAATATTATTATATATTATATATTATATATTATATATAATTATATATTATATATAATT